TTTCATTAATAGTACTCTATTGGGTGGTAATACCAACGTTTTCTATTGATTTAACATGTTATGGTGAAGGCTAGAAATTAGGACTTATTACTTAGTTCGATATGGAAATATTTAGTAACCAAAATTTTAGGTACCCTAAATATCCTAATATTAGGAAAGTAACTTAAATTACAATTGTGTCCAATGTGAAATTCATTTCTAAAGGACAAAAAAGGCAAATGATATTTCGCTAAAAGCTTTCGTGCTTTAATATAATACTAGTATCTATGAACGTGCATTGCACGTTAATATTACACCTAGATATTTAGTCATCAACATTTCACCTTCAAATTTTGTATTTTTATAATAATAATAATAATAATAATAATAATAATAATAATTATAATAATAATAATAATAATAATAGTAATAATAAACAACAACAACAACAACAACAACAACAATAATAATAATAATAATAATAATAATAATAATAATAATAATAATAATAATAATAATAATAATAATAATAATAATAATAATAATAATAATAATAATAATACAATTGCATGTAGATATGTGTTAAATAGTACGAAATGCATATCGAAAGTAATAAACCTTCAATTGCATAGATATTCAAAAAATTTACTCAAATACATATGAGATTCAATAACCAATTTCGTAACATAAAAGAAACAATATACATATAAACCAAACCGATTCGTTAATAAAGTTTTGACACATTTAAAATTATGTGATTAAATTTGTAAAAACACTTGCAAAATGTAACAATATTAATATTTTTGTGATGCAATGGTATACTCTTGTTCAGGTATCTGTATCTACCTATTTGAGTTGGACAAATACTATCCATATATGAAATATCAAGAATTCAGCGAAGGTCTTCACTGAGTTGGCTCTTCATTTTTCATCCCTTCTTGATATTACTTTTATTTTTAGCGTAAAAATTAATACGTTAAAGGTGAATCAAATTGGATTTATATGTAGACGGTAGTATTACTCTTTCCATAAAGATCTAAAATATAAAATAGAACTTTAAAAGTCGGTCAGCGATACAAATCTATGTAAGTTTTAGCGCAAAATCATTAAGGAGGTTAGTTTTTTTTAACCATAATCACTTATATAAAATAAAGAAGAAAAGTACAAATAAAGTTTATGGATAATTCAAATAAATAAACAGAAAAAGAAAAAAAATACGTAATGAACTCCCACTCTAGAAATTTTTTAATCAGTAGAGAGACAATATCTTCTTCTTTGTTTAGTTTTTTAACAAACAAATGAAGAAAAATAAAAAAACATACAAAAGAATATTATATTATATATTTTGAAATTTAAAAAGATAGTATTGAAAAATTCAAGAAAAGTTCACACGGTACAAATCTCATATAAGCTTTGTTAATTCTTTCCCGAAAACTTTTCAGTTAAGAGAATACTGTCACTTTTTTAAAACAAACCAAAAGAGAAAAAGAGCACTCTTCGTTAAGAGAAAATTGTTATCTTTTTTTTATTCTACAAAAATAATATGTAGATGAATATCACATTATATTAATTTATTACTATTTTTTTTGCGAGAAATTAATTTTAATTATAACAATGGTTAGATAACAGGGATAAACTTACGTAGACTATCTGTATTTGTGATGAAAAGAAATGAGCAATATAAAAATCTAATTGGATAGTTTAAATCTTTTGTGTTGTTCCGTGTACAACATTATGTGGATTGTGTTATGTACATTTCCTATTCGAATTCGTACTTGGTCTCACTGTAAAGTAACTCCAATTCAACTACTAAGGATATGAATTCTTTTTGGAATTGACTTGAGTTTATGTCGAACCAAAAAAATTTGACTTTATTACTAATCCTTGTTTTTATAGAAAGTAATTATGATATTTTTTAAATTACCAAAAAAACCAATAGAAATATAGTAAAATAAGACTAAAGGGGTATAAAAGTCGATTAATATTTCAGGGATATTTTAGTCGTTCAATATTTAGTGTGAAACATTCGTGCTTTTATAGTAACTAGTATCTATGAACGTGTGTTGCACGTTAATAATGGCACATGATGATTTAAACATTTATTTATATGAAGGAACAATACAATTTAATTAATGAAAGAATTTTATGTATAATAATACAACAATCATCTAAATACCAAAAAATATTATTACATTAGCATAATACATGAATTTAAAATAAAAAGACATCATCAAAACTTACACAAATGATCAATTTTGTCATGTTAGTTAGATAATTATGTACTATAGTTTAAGAGTATTTAATGTGATGGCATCTTAACGAACACTTCTTTGTGGACAATATCTTTTTGTGTATGTTCTCTCCTAATGCTTTGGTTGCTCCCTCTTAACCAGAACTCTTGTTGTCGATCTTGATACCCCTCTTAAAAGTGCAACATAAAGTTGTTCGTGCAAGAAAACATATTGCGGTAAATATAGTCCAATATTTAGGATGTTTGTCCTTATGCTTTACTTATTATATTTGCAAAACATAATCATACTAAAAATTATTTTCGCACAAATTTAAAAGGATATTCCTTAGTTTCGAAAGATGAAAGTTGAATTCAGGGATAAGAATATACTTAGAAGCACATTGACCAGTATTATAATTTTTGCATGTATGACATTATTATTAAAACTTCTATATACAATATGTGTGCTATCACATAAGCTATTCGGCGTATCTTATAAGTTTTTCAGTAGCATGGCATGCATATTTTTCTTCAAAATCAACCTATATTCAATGGAAGATCAATTTTAACTTAGTCTGTTATATATACGGTGACACTAATATATGTAAGAAATAATAAACTTGACAACAAACATATACGGTTGAAGACCATTTGGTATTAAAGTATTTAAGTATTCTTCTTGGTAGTAATTATTGGTATCATTTTCTGCCGAGTCAAAAACAGAAAAATACTTTATTTTTACTATAAAATTTTGCAATGAACCTTTTATTTAGTTGATCAACATATTCATTCCTGCTAGCTAAGATATCTTTTTAGTTCTTCATGTAATTTGCACAAATTCCGTTTTAATCTAATGATAGAAATATTTCTCTTATTAATTACACTACTATTACCATTGGGGTTGATAACCAAGTGTTCAGGAAGAAGCAAAATCATCTTTTATTGGATGCTCTTCTTTGTTTCCGACACGAAGCAAGAAGACACTGAATACTGGATCTGTTCTTACTTTATATTTAATAATAATAAAATATTATTTGAGTAGAAAATCAATTCAAATATAATATAAAAATATATTATTATGGGGATATTTTTTTCTTAATTTTAACTCTTTATGCAGTCTAATTAATATTATTTTTATTTTTTCCTAGTATTGGACGTTATAGAGTGGTAATGTATTGCCAATATGGGCAATTCTTATAAAATTAGTTATTAAACCTTCATGTATATTTTTAAAAAATTATAATTTAATAGGCAAACTATTATTAATTTAAAATATTAAATATTAAAAGTTAACATAAAAAGATATTATATTTAAAAGGGGTTCAAATTAAATAAAAAAGGAACATATTAAACACCTTCCGAAATCTGCATAAGGTGATTTCCATACTTATATTAATTGGAATTACATGATTAAGACATACAAGTTATTATTCTAAGTGAGCTAGGCATTAAAGAAACAATAATAATAAACAATAGAAAAGATAAACTTTAGATACTAATAAGGAAAGTTTTATACGATAAGTCGTGTAGTATTATGTCCTAAAATTAATAGGATTATAAGGCTAATATCTAGAATTCCGGTTATGTCCTTTTATTATGAGTTATTATGCTTAATATTATAAGGTTATTTTTGTAAACCGACATTGTATTCATGATTTTATAATAATTATAATTATAATTATAATAATATAGATAGATATAGATATAGATAGATAGATATATATAGATAAGGATGCAAAGGTGTTCCAAAACTAATTACAGTCTAGTGCACTCGTTTTTTTTTTTCAATTGATTTATAAGCACTAAGTGCACAAATAGTTGTTTTTAGGATTCTTATTTAAAGAATAGTCGAAGTTTGCAAAGTTTTTAAAGTTTAACTACCTACGAATGTAACTTCAAACTTTAAACTAAGTCCACAATTACGAGTCTAAAGTTTGAATGCAGAGCCTAACTTTAAACCTGAATGTCTGAAATTTTGCTTTTGACAATTCAAACTTCATATCCAAAAAAACTTTCAAAATTGGCTAAACTTCAAATAATTTTTAAAAATTGAATATGTTTTTAATATAGGTGCTAAAAGCATATACCTGGTACCATTTCTACCCACTCATAGCTGCCAAAATTTTCCATTCAGCCACCAATCGGGCATGGAATTCATAAGATGTAAAGACACTGCACAGCGTATCAATAATGACCATGGACGTTTTGATGCGAGTTAAGAATTTACTCGGTCTTCCATAATCTTTTTAACTAGATCTCAAGAGCTAAGAACAGGGGATACGACAGATTAGAAAAATTAGCTTTGCTTTCAATGTCACCTAGAAAGAGGGCACAATCAAGGTCACCTAGAAAGTAACCATTATCAAATACTGTACCAGATAAGAATATGAAACAGGGTCTCCTCTATTTTTGACATACAACGAACTATTCACGCAGTTTTATCTCGCCTCTCGACCATCTCAATCCATAAGAATCTTTAGTAAACAAAAGCTTGGCATTGTGATCAAAACATGCAATTGAAAGTCATTTTTCGTCAGTAGTTAGATATAGTGGATCTTCGTTAACGAAGATATAGTGGACCTGAAGATCAATAAATCGTTGGAATACGTTTTGACGACCCATTCCAGAACAAATCTTAGTAAGGTGCGAGGGCACTAGGTGGAAAGAAAATGGGTACACTAACAAATTGTATTTTGTACTATATAGTATATATACATGCATGCACATATACACATAAACATGCTCTAAAATCACCTGAAGTATCATACTATAATACTTAATAACCTCTAAATTTACCAAGGATCTTATTACGACAATACGTGTTTACTCTGAAGGAAAAAGGATAGCTCAGATAAGAGGAAAATCCTGTCTTTCGAAGAACAAAAAGCTTTCTAAAAGTCAACTCTGACTACCTTTACAGTTAATTAACTGAATAATGACAATAGTACTTTTTTCTTTTCCGGGGCACAGAATAAAACAAAAGAAAAATAAACAAGCTAATGAACAAAAATCCTTCAAAATTCAAGATAAAATACTCTGCTGGTCCCCATGAACTCATCTGTCGATACCTTATTGAGGCACTAGCATTTTGAACGCCCTAGCACCCTTAAACCCCCTTTGTCTTTTCTTCGTCTCTATGTTTGAAGACCCTTCGATGATGAATTTCACCCCTCATTCGCTGGAAGAACAAAAAGGTTTACGCACTGCAAGAGATGAAGCAACAAAAGAGTTGGATCATCAGGTTATAAATGGTAGAAATTCCTCCAATTGAAGGATAAAACTCCAAATTAAAGAGACAGTATTAAAACATTTATGTGGAAAATTAGAGAGCATGCTCTTCCAAGGACTGCATGAGAAAGCTTCAACCTCTATTCACCTGAAAACTCGTACAGTCCTTTAGAGTGCACAGGATTTTATTGATTTTGGACGCTAGTATCTTGAACCGATGCATCATTTGTGAAAGCCAATTCCGAAACCAAAGCAATATGATCACTTCCCCACTTCTGGATAATAGGAAAGCAGAAAAAGAAAAAAGAAATTGTTTAGTACATGGCTAAAAGACAAGTCGTTAAATAAAACTGCATATAGAAAAATGTAAGAGCCAAAACAGAATGAGCAAATTCGACTGCCTTGTATAGAGTAATAAACTTTGTCCACTTCACGTCTATCTATTAATGTAATGTGTGGATGCATATCCAGCCCAATAAAAGAGGACAAGGCATTTGCAGATCTCAACCATGCTAACTGAAACTACTGGGAATCCATATCCTTAAAAGATCCATGTCTACCATGAAAGTGGATGGTTCATAGCCAACTTAACTGATTCCAATATTACTTTTTCTCATCAAACCTTTGAGTCATAAGCCCTGTGCACATGCTTGCCAACCAGAGCCGCATAAACAGCTTTAATAAGATCATGTGTTTTCATTCCCACTCTATATCACATACAAAATCCCATAGCTATCACTGTAAACACGGTTGGCACTTTAACACAGAAATGTTTGGTACATAGATTATGCATGTTTTTCAATTGCATAGTTGATTGCCTTTTGATAGATCGTACGCTTTTCAAACATGAACCGGAGAAAGAAAAAGAAAAAAAAAACAGCGATTGTTAGAAGATTGAAAACTGACAGCTTTTGCAAAATTTAGTGTGTTCAGAAAATACTTATCATGCAATAATTTCAGTTCTTATATTACTATGCGCTACTCGACAAATTAGAAACGAGAAATAGAAGTCCTATCTATAATACTTCAAGGAGGTGAATAAAGCTTTTAATCTTTCTTCTCATGCTTTAAGTGATCACAGTCAGCCTTTAGAAATCCCAACTTGTCTTTCAAAAGGACAACTACCAGCCAATTAATGTGAATTTCTTCAAAGGTTTATGTGCATAACTCAAATGGTGCTTCTACAGACTCTGTCCTTGTCATTAGAATGTTTAAAGCTTGTTTGGTTTGTCGTATAAGGAAAATAAATCCGATATAGGAGTAACTAATAACATTTGGTTTCCGACTTAAAACTCTGCATTACTAAAGTGAATTCCAACAAATACAACATTTGGTTTCTGAAATAAACTTCTCCATTGCTAATACTAGCAAACCTATGCGGGAATACATAAATTACTTTTTATACCACCCTTATACCTTCTTATACCTCATACCAAACGACCCCTTAGAGTGATATCTTTTTAAGTTAGACATTGCCACATTGGACAAATCTTGTATGTGTTTGACACCTATAAATAAGTGTTAAGTACTCATACCATCAAACCATCAATACATCTCTCTATTCTCGTAGTTTCACACTAGTTGCCTCAACAGTCTCATGAAACTTCATTCAGACGGCTTTATTTGACAAAGGGCATCCAGGTCCAGCTTGACCTGGAAACAGTAACTGAGCTTCTCTTAAGTATGACAGTAAGTTGATGCTGATGCGAAATTATTTATTTTCAAGGATTAAATCTGTAATAAATGTGTCAAAAAAGTAGCTTCGAGGCTGTTCATAAGGCAGCAGGTGCGATTTAGTATTTCAGGACGATTTGTTGTATTTCAACCCTGTTGCAAATTAAAATCCAAATTGGTATTCATAGCACTAAAAAATTTTGAAGACCACTATATGAAAGGAGATCATACTGCTATCCACCATGCATAACCAAAACAAAGTTCTGTGCAGCAAGGATGAATCTGAACTGTTGTTCTATGAAGAAACTATTTGTACTTTCTTTTACCAACATACCTTAGTAGGGAAACCTCTCACAAATTGCATGGCGTTTTTCGGAATGGGAGCAAGCACCCTCACAGTTTGAAGACCTTCAGAACGCCTGAGTGTAATTTGAACAATTAGTTTGCCATGTTATTCTTGAGTTCTAACTGATGGAATACCAAAAGCATCAACCACAGAGATGCATATGCATCTAACATATATAAAACAACACATCGAGGTCATATTCTAAATGAATCCTAATATCAGGAGCATTTCAAATTTGTCATGAACAACTATGGCAATGCTACAAATCAATCTGGGATCTTATCTTTGTTCCTCAATGATGGAATTAAACAAAAGGCAGCAGAAGCTAGGGGAATATTTAAAGATACTTACCATATATAATCAACTGTACCCATGAAAAGCCTGTGATAGCTGGTCACCTCAGGTTCTCCTGTTGAATCTCTTGTTCCAGAAAAATCCTGAAACTACGAAGATGTGAGTTGCAGTTATAAAAAAATGAGCAAGTATTAAGCCAGATTACCAGCCAATAGAAGAATATATCATACACATTTACCATAAGATATGGAATAGCACATTGACAATACAAGCTTAGTCTAATAAGAGCTACCTCTACTTCCCTATATGAACTTGCCAACTTCAGATTATGTTCCATTATTGTGCAATCCGCATTGCCTGTAGCAGTTTCTAAATCCATTGGAGTCCAAGCTGATGGATCATAAGTAGATTTCTCCATGTCAACAACCTCAGAATCCAAATCAGGAACATCATCTGCTATCTCGTCTCCTAGTGGACGCAACTCTAAGGAACCGTAACACTTCTCGAAGGAATCATTCAATTCCTCGAGAGCAGTTTTTTGAAATTGGTTAGAGTGAGCTGGAAAGGAATCATCTTCACCATTTAACTGAGACAAAAATGTTTCACGATCGTGGCCTAAAAGTTCATCTTCTTTTGTGCCTCCAGAGACCTCATTAAGTGACAAGCTGTCCATCTTTTCGCCCAACAAAACATCAAAACATGTCTCTGCGTGTGAGGTTTTATGTTCATGTGATGTTTTAGTGCAACTCTCTTTACCAATTGATGATACACTTTCAGAGGTTTCCAGAGGAGAAACTTCATGTACATTTGAAGAATCAGAAAATAGCCCCAACGATGACATATCTGAACAATGGGCTATTGTAGGTCCGTGAACACTCATAACATTTTCAGAACCAAAATCATCTACTTTGGACTGTCCATCTTTCTGTCTATATGCCGTTCCGGAACACACTTCTGCTTCAAAAATTTTGTGAGAAGAGCAAGATTTCGCATTAGGGTTGGCATCGTTGCATCCACCCTGAGTGTCTTTATCATATTCATCTTCTTGACAAGATTCTAGTAAACTTACTTCATGACTCGTACCTTCAACTGGAAACAATGAACCTTCACCACGAGAACTACTTGGATCTTCTCTAAAGACACCAACAGAAACATTACCATGAGTTTCTCTAGGTAACTCATTCGTACCCTCGGAGCATGGGTTAACCATACAAGAACTGCCGGACTCATATACCACAGAACTCTGAGGCTGAGACAAGATACATACAGAAGATCCACTTGCTGAATGTTTTTCTGGAGAATCGAGCTTTTGTTCATCTAATGTCATCTTACTGTCTTTTACTTCTCTCTCAGCAGCCAGTGCAGAGCTTTGAGCAGAGTCAACTGCATCCTGGTGTCTGTGGTATAAAAAAAGAATTCCAGTTTTAGAAACATCAAGACTGAATCCTGAAAGCGATAAAGGGTGTAAAGTAAATATGATTTCAGTCTTTCAGATTCACTGAATAGAAATGAGACCCTTAATATGAAAATTAGAAATCCCCAGTCATTTTTTAAAAGACTAGTGTGTCAAGCTCAGCATGAATATGTGACTAACAAATTCAAAGAAAGGATAGGTGGACAACCCCTAATGACCTTGCATTTTTATTATCTTTACCAAAATTATACTCAGAAACAATGTGCACCATATTTGGTAAGTTATTTCTTATTAATAGACAAGATTAGAGATTATCGGATCAGACAGAATGCAAGTAAAAGACGTAGAGGGTAAAACGAAAGAAGGTCACTTGAGATAGTTTAGCATGTTCTACATAAATCTCCAAATAGACTGGTCGATATGTGCAAGTACAATGATCTTTAAGGTGCTAAACGGCGAAGAGGTACGCTTAAAATCACATAGAGCTAAGTTGTCCTAAAAGACCTACAAACACTCTAATCAAGACGGACTTAGCTAAGACTATGAAAACAAAGGATCCATATTAGCAATACCACCTATTAGGATTAACGCCTTGTTGTTGTTTGTCGTTACACTTACATCAACTGCAGTCTAGTTTGATTAGAAACTATGTCAGTGTAGGGATGAGAGTGAATTTTAAAGAACCTCTAGTTTTTAAAAGTTCAAATTNAAAAAAAAAAACTAGCTTGGAAATGGGATCTAGTTCATCGTGAAATTGAAGTAGAAATCTTATAAGATTATACATAAGCTGGTACAAGGAAATATGAGGCAAAGGTCAAGTCTCCATGAAATCACCAGATAATTATTTAATTGAGGTAAGAAGTCCATACCTAGCACTAGGATTGAGGCTGCTACGTTTCACTGTATTAATTGTAGCAGACTCCTGTCCTGACACTTTATCTCGAGGCACTTCTGATAAGTCTAGCTGCAGGAACAAAGTACCCCAAATGCATCCCGAAGCAAAGAATCATCATTTCCCCCAGAGAAGGCACAGAAGAAAAAGGGGGTCGGGAACAGCAGCAAGAAACAAAACATTGTATGAAGCTTACCCTTTCCTCGACAATATAGTTGTACAATGGACTCTGGTAAAGGGAAAAAAGAATAAGGAATTAAAGCAGGATTCTGTCAAGAGGAAAAAGACAAGAAGAATTATTAAACTACAACATAAAATTCAGTACGAACCACAGAAAGTAAGAGGAGAAAATATGCATTAATGAGAAACATGTCATAAGTGTTTCAATGGGAATCAATGAACCCACCTTTGGTGTACTGTTAAAATCTCCACAGATCACAACAGGAGCATTGTCCCAAAGTTTTGAAACACCATCAGCCTTATCCAGAAGCACCCTAACCTGGTTGCAGCAAAATTTACTTACACTAAACGAAATACTGAATCCAATCAAGTGGACTCTTCGTTGCGGCTAAAAATGCTAAACTTAAAACAGGTACATTAATAATGAAATGAAACCAAACCTACTTTATGAGGAATAGACAAGCAAGACAGTTCTGCCAAGTATTCTATCTTAAAGGAGATACAAACCAACTTTATGAGGAATAGACAAGCAAGGCAGTTGCCAAGTATGCTATCTTAGAAGTGGATAGCAATGTATGAGTATCACCATACATTTAGCAGAAAGAGGGACCCATTCCTATAGCAACTCTTTAAATGCTGTGTTTGGATACATATACTTTTGAGGTTGCTGTTGTTTTTTTAGCAGAATTTGGAGATATTTACAAAAATAACTCCTTCCTGAAGCTTTTTAAGTAAGGAAGGGATCAAGTAAACAGTTTAGGTGCAGTGCTGATGCTTCTTGATAAACATCTGCTTCTTCCAAAGATAAAAACCATCTGAGGAAAATAGGTCCTCATATCAGAATAGTGAAATCCTTCTAGATTATATTTTCCCATCAAGTTTGGGGGATATAGCTACTTCCTTGCCTTTCTAATGTAAGGCAGTAGGTTTATCTCATAGTAGGATTAACTGGTTTCCCGAGATTGGAGCTGTTTAATGTTTTGTTTCTTCATGAAATATTAACTTTTCCAACATTCAGATTTAGAAAACTATATTTTCTGAAAGAAAAGGGAAAAAACAAAAACAAAAACAACAAAGCCAAACAGGGATGCCCTCATGTCCTTGTATTAAAAATGATGAGGAAGAAAAGTTAATAGAAAGCTATTTAGAGACATCATAATTCAAAATACACTTCAGATGATCTTCATGTTTACCCTTGCCATACCAATATGTAGGGAACAGCACGCCAATTGTAATGATAGGACGCTATAAATTACGGATAGGATGCTATAAATTACGGATGTAGATAATAAAAGAGAATAACGAGTTACAACATAAGGAGCAAAGAAAGAACAGCACCCTTGGACTTTCATTTTTTAAATTCATGTCCATTTATTCTATTAAATACTTCCGATAAACATAGAGCTTGTATTCACTTAACCACAGAAATATGATGAATACTAACTTCTCTTTAAATAATACAATTTTAGAACAAAACTAACAAGCCATGACAAGAAGCAGATATGCAGACATGACAGACTACAATCTAGCAGGTCTCTATCGTGTGAAGCGGAGCAACATATGACTAGATAAATGCCAAGCATAGGATACAAAAGTACATGATAACTGACTTACAGATAAATTCATGCACACAATGATGTGTGAAAAGACAGTATCTATTGACAATAAGTACCTGTCCAAGCTTAATCTCTCCCCTTCTAGGATTGAAAAGCACATGAGTATTACAAATTACAACCTTATTGGAGTGACCAGGTCTGCAAGTGTAAAATACACTAACTCAGCAGGTAAAGAATAAGGAAAAGAAACTTGAACAAGCTCATGCTACGAACTCAAGAAAAAATGTTCCAAACAGCATCCACATTTGTAAAAACATGAGCAACAATGAGTATCCAACACAAAATCAACTGCTATCATTGGCCAATCTATGTGGATAAATCTGATTGAACAGGGACTTGAAAAACGAATATGAGAATATCTAAACCAGCTTATCTAGCAATTACCAGTGCAAAAAATATTGGAATAGCACAGTTGTCAATGATACAACAATATTTTAGAACAAACACTAAAATATGTGCGACCCATAAAAACCCATGACTGAGATTCAGACTTCCTGCATAGCCATCTTTACACTCAGAGACTATGGTTAGGCACTTATCTTTCCTTACACAAAGTGGAATTATGTAAAGGAGCATTTCATATGAAAACTCTGTGTGTGTGAGAGAGAGAAAGAGAGAGACGCTTCTTGAATGCTGCTGCAAAGAAAGAGGACTGGGATAGGCAATCCTAAAACTCATTTATCCCTTTCTCGTCTTGTTCGGATACTACAACATACTCAGTGAAAACCCACAAGTGGGGTCTAGGAGGATAGTATGTAGATAGATCCTCGGCTCAAGTAAAGCATAATCCCAGCATTCATGAAAAAGAGATACATTAGTGGGAAAGCCATGGAAAAAGAAGCAGCAACAATAGCATGAAAACAAGATAACCGAAGAAAAAACAACAGGTAGTAATTGAAATAAAAGAATAAGAAATTACGGAAGTAATACTAATACTACTAGATGGAGAAGAAATGTGTGCGACTACCTACTAACCTACTACCTTAATCCTCGACCTCCACACCCTCTTATCAAGGGTCATGTCCTCATTAAGCTGCAGATGTACCATATTCTGTCTAATCATTTCTCACCAATACTTTTTTCGCCTACCTCTGCCTCTCCTTAGTAGCACCATTGCCAACCGCTCACACCCCCTCATTGGGGCATCTGTGCATCTCCTCTTGACATGTTCGAACTACCTCAACCTCGCTTCCCGCATTTTGTCCACAACAGAAGTCACACCCACCTTATCCCGAATATCTTCATTTATAATCATATCCCTCCTAGTATACCCACACATCAATCTCATCATCCTCATCCGCCACTTTCATTTTCTGGACATGAGAGTTCTTGACTGCCCAACACTCCACCCCATACAACATAGTCGGTCGAACCACCACTCTGTATAACTTACCTTTAACTCTTGGAGGCACATTCTTATCAAAAAAGACCCCGGATACAAGCCTCCACTTCACCCACCCTACCCAATACGATGTGTGACATCATCGTCAATCTCCCAATTACCTTGGTTTATAAACCTAAGATACTTAAACTTCCTTTCTTGGAGATGACTTGTGTATCAAACCTCACTTCCACGTCATCCTCATGAGGTATGTCACTGAACTTGCACTCCAAGTATTTTGCTTTAGTCCTGCTCAACCGGAAAACTTTAAACTCTAGGGTTTATCTCCAAACCTCTAGCATATGGTTAACACCGCATCGCATCTCGTCAATAAGTACTACATCATTTGAAAATAGCATGCACCATAGCACCTCCCCTTAAATGTGACACATCAATTAATCCATCACCAAAGCAAATAAAAACAGGTTGAGAGCTGATCCCTGATGTAACTCCATCACCACTAGGAAGTGTCTCGAGTCTCCTCTTACTGTCTTTACCCGTGTCTTGGCTCCAACATACATGTCCCCTAGTGTATGCGACATGCACACCTCTAGCCTCCAAACATCTCTAGAGAACCTCCCTTGGGACTTTGTTGTATGCTTTTTCAAAGTCGATAAACACCATATGTAAGTTTTTCTTCCTCACCCTATAATGCTCCACCAATCTCCTTACAATGTGAATGTCTTCTATAGTCGAATGCCCCGACTTGAATCCGAACTGATTCTCGGGAATAGACACACCCCATTCTCACCTCATCTCCACCACCCTCTCCCAAACTTTCATAGTGTGGCTTAGTAGCTCGATAGCTTATAGTTGTAGCAATTTCGGATATCACCCTTGTTCTTGTACAACTGATTCGTTGTACTTGTTCTTATACAACGGAATCTTTGTACTCCACCTTCATTCCTCAGGCATTTTTGTACTCTTCTAAAATTCTATGGGGATCTCGTCTGGTTCGATCGCTCTTCCCTGCTTGTCTGGTTCTGCCCCGAACCTGAAACTGTCCGCAGACGTGAACACACACGCGCAGAGCGAGAAAGGGAGAAAGAGAGAGGGGGAAAGGAGAGAAGGAGACAAGCAGCGTAGAAGACTAGTCATGTTGCCGGACTCCGACCAGAAAAGGAAAGAGGAAAGAGAGAGAAAGAAGGAGAGAAAGAGAGAAGAGAATAGAAGAAGAGAGGAAGAGAAGAAGAGAAGAGACCTTATATGTACTCAGTTACCATTGACGGAGAAGAAGAAGAGTGGAAATGACAGCTGTTAAGGTTGTGAGAGTCTACAATACGCAACCAAAGTTCAAATACTCGGGGGTCAAACAGTCAAACACTAGTTTTGTTTCATTCCCCAGGCCTTCACTCTTTCTTACTTCAACCTTTTGTTTGCAGCTTAATAATATTATGCCAAATACTTGAATTGACACAGATAACCCAAGTTACAGATAATTTAGTTGGGGATGTGGAAAAAAATAAATATAAATAATAAAAAAGAAAAAGGCCGATGATGCGAAACTTTCGAGCAGTAATGAGGCCTGATATTTGTTTCAAAAGGTACAAATTAACCTTTCAAGAGATAGGTTATTTTACGGTGCAAGTGCCAATACAAAGGAGATCATACCTTGCTGAGAGAGCTGGTGTGACACTCTTATTCTGCTGACCCAGAGACTGTAAGCAGGAGATAAACACAATAAAAGGAACTTCTAAAACAAGCACAAGCAAGTTTTGAATTTGAAGACTTACATTAAAGCAATGAAGAATATACTTGAAAGAATTTATGTACCTCAAATACACATATCTGGGCTACATTATCCCGAAGCCCGAACTTTTTAAATTCAATAAATTCTTCATGCACCAACTTGAATCTAACATAAAACATTCCAACGTATTTCCAATTAGGTAATATCATGAACTAGTAATCAAGATTCCACAGCAAGTACTGTATTGCCAAAAAACCATAAAGGCTAAATATTAAGATGATAAAGCAAATCAATGAATAGTGCTGTGAAAGTAACACTTAATATCCTGGAATACTGAATCTCTAAACATGCACTCGGCTAATATTTACCAAACAGTCTAAACAATACTACTACCAACATGCTTAAATGACTTTGGAGCATATCAAGCAAATTTCCAACTCAACTGGAGTAGAGAATCCAGACACAGACGTGTGGTGACAAAGATACTATGGAATTGGCAATGACATGATATGAGATTGGATTCTACGATACCAATGTTTACATAAAACAGACACAAAAAGAATTTAAAAAAATTGTTTCCTCATTCATAATTAAGTCTAATAACAGCATCACCTATTTAAACTATCCTTCGGATTTGAGGCTGCAAAAGAATAAAATTTCCTGACCTTGACGCATTCCAAAATATTGCACAACCATCAGCTGGATCTCCGGTGCGCCTCTACATCAAACATATTCCACATTGCATATGAAAGTATTATTATACACTAAACAAACTATGCATTTGTTCTTGTAGTTCAAGAGTAATAAGGTTCTCAGTGCTAATTGTGGGTAAAAGTATACATGCAAGTATCAGATATGGAAAATTTAAATGGTTGCCTATTCCTGAACTCATTTTGATTCTTGCAAGACAAAGTCTAGATTACTTATTAGGAGGTAGAGATGAAGGATTTTACATAATAAAGTTGGGCTTTAGGTGAAAATAAATGAGTCCTAGGGTTTATGGGTAAGGAGGCTTCCTGCTATCAATGGAGGAGCCGAAGAAATGAGGGTAACAAAGCCAATTTAATGTTGGATGCTTATCTGATTAAGAAGACAATGACTCTTACTGTTGGTAAGCAATCTCCTCTACACGTTATCTTTGGGCATTTTACTCTCTTTCAAATAGATGACTATGCAAACCTCATATTACGGATGCACGTGCTTTCTTAAAATTCGATCCCCTCCACAAGACAAATTGAGCCCTATGTATCACTCTATGTGTTTTCTGGTTTGCGTACCCCTTTCTCAAAAGGGCTACAAGTGTTAAAGATCCTTCTAGATTTATACTTTACCTTATCAAAGAAAAAATGATCCGACGATTCCACATTTCTCGACATGTCAACTTTCCGAACATGTGTCTTACTATGGAGCTCAGGAATTTGAGATTCCGCATGACAACTGGGGAAAGGAGAGTTTTTAAAGTGTACGGATGGAAAGAAAAATGCGAGAGCAGTCCTCTTTAAATCCGAGGTTTTAGAATTGATCAAAGAAATGACCTAATGGTTCCAATTTAGCGAATTAACAGATGAAATTATACACCCCTCCTTGCTTTGAAGAATTTAGAGGATAATATTCATGCATTTATAATTCATCTGTGACAAGTATGGACAAAATGGACTATGGTGCTCTAACATTGTTAATAGTCCACATGGGGTTGGGGTATGGATGTCAATCAGACTTCACTGGAATACTCTGGCTGATAATACAACCATAACGGTGGGTAATGGAAGGAAAACACTTTTCTGGAGTGATAACTGGTTAGGACATGGTCCTCTCAAAGAACTTTTTCCTGATTTTTTCAGCATTGCAACATCGCCTACATCCACTTTAGACACTGCCTGGGGTCAGCAAGGATGGAATGTTACTTTTAGAAGGGCCTTGAATGATTGGGAATTACAGAAGGTTGTGGATTTCTTTAATATCTTGGAACAATTCCGAGGTCTTGGAGAAACTGAAGATAAACTCTGTTGGAACCTTTGCAGAAGTGGGAATTTTACAGTCAAATCCGCATATACTCTAATTGCTGCTTCAAACCAACAGTTAGAACAATGGCCCTGGAGGTATATTTGGAAAGTAAAGGCACCTTTCAAGGTGGTATGCTTTTCATGGTTAGTTGCAAGAAAGGCTTGTCTAACCCAAGAGAACTTGAGAAGAAGAGGTTTTTAGCTATGCTCTAGATGCCTATTATGTGGTACAGCTACAGAAACTAATAGCCATTTGTTTCTTCATTGTCCTTTTACTGACCAACTGTGGCAGCTCTTTCTTAATATTGTGGGCCTTAAATGGAGCATGCCAGCTAACACTTGTGAATTGCTGCAGTGTTGGAATTACAATGGGGGTATAGTGAGACAGAAGAAATGGTGGCGATTGGTTCCTGCGTGCATATGGTGGACAGTTTGGAAGGAGAGAAATTTAAGAACTTTTGAAGACAGAAGCAATTTTTTTACAGAAAATCAAGATAAAGTGTTTACTTTTGTTTCATTTCTGGTGTAAAGAAAGTTGTGTAGAGGAGCCAGAATCTTTGATAGACCTGATAGGTGCACTGTAATCTTAGGTAATCTTAGGTTGACATAGCTGGTTTTTGTTCCTTGTAAATATGGTTTGGCACTGCCCTAGTGCTGTTTTATTTATTAATATACATGTTACCATTATCAAAAATATTCATGCATTTGGAATATATCGTGATCTTAATAATCAGGTGGTAGCATATTGACAAATGTCATTATTGTTACGCTGACCATCGGGTCGTTAGGCTTTCCAAGGGGATGTTTTTCACCCATCTCTCAGAAAGAGCGGCTAGACAGATATACAAGTATTGAAGCATCACAAAGATGATAGATACTCTTCCAGCTCATAGTCTAACCTTGCCAAACTTAGAATGTAGTAAGAGAGGTAAGGAGTATATGATTAATGCCTTGGATCTATCGAGTGATGGTTTGGAACTATATTTATTTTTGCACCTGGACCACCACAACTCTCAGCAAACTAACGGAGGCATGACCTTATTAATATATGAAGCCATAGGATTAAGGACCTTGTGGTTCCACCAACCAAGAAGTAGCATTCAACAATTGGTGTTCCCAAACCAGCGAGCAAACACGGAGCAAAATAGATGCTCAACATATTTGAAGCTTGAGTTAACAATAGAATCAGCACATCAATAACATTTAGGGGGAAAGAGAATGACCAAAACTACATATCAAAGACGAGAAAGGAAGCCTTGTGTACCCCTCACTGGAAAGAGGGCGATGATGGAGGAAATGAGTGCAGTTAAGAAGAATGAAACATGGGAGATTGTTGATTTACCTCCCGGAAAGAAGACTGAGAGCTATATGTAAACGGGTATAGATAGTGAGATTACATCCGGGTGAGGATATTCAGAGATACAAGTGGCAAGTGGATTTACACAAACCAAGGAATAGACTATGGCAAAGGAACCTTTCATCCAAGATGTTTACTAAATTTATCATTGGGTCCTCATTTTGACTTTAATAACTTTATACCTAGGTCCTAGTATTACTCGGTGGGAACAATTTCTCATCAGAACAATTTTTTGCATCTTAATATTTTTAAAGAGCCTAATGAACTTTCCAGCGAATATTTACGAATTATATATATGCCGTATTTGAAGGTTCAAATTCCCATATTTACATTGCACTTCATAACAAAATGGTGATTTCTGATGCATAATTGCATATCATAATGTACGAAACTTGGGAGATTATAGATATATTGCTCTTAGGATAGGTTTGGACCCTCCCTCTGGCACTTGCTCCACAACATATTAATCAACAGTAAGTTCACTAACAAATTAATTGTAAAAATACTTATCAAGTGAAGAATAGCACGAAAGCATAAAAAACCTTCCAGATGCCATTATATCCACGCAACTTCAATTCTGCCTCCAACTCTTGGAATCTGTCAACCTCCTGGAAGGAGGAAACATCACAAGCCATACCAAGGATTGTTACTTCCCGAAGTGAATACAAGCAGAACAATGAAACAAAGACGTAGAAGTTAAGGGGTCGAACATATTGGAAAGATTATGGAAGAGACGGGGAAAAGATTGATTATATTAAGCTTTGCAAGGAAAAGAAAATGCATACATAGACACACACATAATATGTAAGACTCAAATGTAAGACAAGTTTCTACGTGTTCTCATGGGCGGCTCAACGAATTTGGTAACCTAAAGCCAAATAGTATTAAAAGGCCCTTAAATTTTCATAAAATTCATACGATAATGAGACAAAAAAGAAACCCACATGATTTTGGTTTAGTGGTAAGAGCGCAAACGCGTGATGCATAGGTTAGGCTCACATCACGGTTTCGAACTCTCCTGGGACAAAAGTATGATATTTAAGTGGAAAATGGTAGAGGGGTGGACTCATTTTCCATCGAGTTCGAATCTTGCGCCACTGTCCTCGAGAATTTCTTAATTTAAAAATCCGAGAAACAAAAGAACTTGCGTTCTGATGTATGCATCAATATATGACAAAAACAAATAGCTAACTCAGAGAATCTGCGTTGAAATTAGAGAGTGAAATCGAATTGATGAGAAGGTAAATATACTACTTAATTTAATGAGAGAAAATTTATCGTTATTTATTCACTCAATCATACAACCACAATCAAATTTAAAAAATGCAACAATTGCAATGTTATTATTAATAATAATTGGATAAATTATATGTTCGATATAATACTAATATAGTGTTTTCTAATTTTGCGGCCCTAATACTTGGGGGCCTAAGGCAAGTGCTTTATCGACCTTACCTTAGAGCCGCCCCTGCGTGTCATTTCTCTCTCTAGTGTCTCTTCTTTATCACATGGTACCGGAGAGAGGAATTACTTATTAAGCATTAACCGATGACTTCCACGAGAAAAATCTCTTTGTCACACAACTTTTTAGTGATTGTGAGTACTTCCTGAGTCGTCCTTAGTTTTGTGAATGTTGCGCAGCAACCCAGCACCACCCAGACATTGATACTTTCCAACTAACAAAACCTGACATGCCTTGCACTGACCGGAGAGGACGCACACCAACATGCCTTGCACTAACTCTTATTTCTCACTATATGTGTGTACAAAATCTCTTTGTTTCAGACACGCCTTTAAAATTTGCTAGCCCAAATACATACATTTAAAACAAACTCAATATAGAGTTACCAATTCACAGATGGTACTACACCTTTGGTACCAACCTGGAAGGAAGAACAAATACGTATATTAGACTTTAGAAAAATTTCCATACATCCAGCATCATACCGCATCAATCTGTGCCTATTCCACAACATCACTGTGATTGAACCACAATTCGAAGAGTGTAGAAGGCAAAACAATATTAATTGAGTCAAGAGTCATAACCTGAAAACACAATATATCAGCTGACCACCATCCAAGCTCAGAAAGAATACTTCTTTTACGCCATTCCCAGTCCAAAATATGTTGTGGTATGTGATAGTAAAGTTTTCTCTGATGATCAATTGCAAGGTAATCAGCTAGTATGTTGTATGACAAGACTGTAAATCGCTCTGCAGTATATAATAGCATAGTAAAACATTCATCAGTTTGATCGAGACCTAGCTTAGTAAACAAAAACTTATGACATACAGACAGAAATTGAAAGCAAACAAGTATCTCAAAGTGGCACCGAAGAAGTCAAATATTTTGCACGCTACAATCTTAAACTCCAACAACATTTCAGCTAACTTGGATGATTTATTGTGAATATATATTAAGCGAATGCTCCAATATAGTGGTAAGAAAGGGAGCAAATAAAATGATTTAAATATTTTTTCCCTTTCTAAGAAGAAACCTAGAGGTCCCACTCCAGGATAGGACGGCTTAAAAGAATATATTCCAAACTTCCAAGCATGACCCAAAAGGGAGCTTTCTAAATGTTCCATGTTCCCATCCTACTTATCTGTTCACAATAGGTGGTTAGTTGTCCCCAACATCGTGAAAGATAAAATGGAACTCACGAGGGCAAGCATCGAGGAAACACAACCTCTACAAATTCGACTTGATCATGAGGCTAAACTCTCGCAGCGCTAACGCATTGATAGGTCAGGGGTTCATCTCATACACACTTAAATGGTTAGACTAACACCTTGTTCATAATTGATATTGTTTTATGGTACTCTGTAACTAAGAATTTGATGACTTCAAATTTTTTTTTTTTGAGTCGCAGCAAAATAAGAGTGCCACACCAGCTCCCTCAGCAAGGTATGATCTTCTTTGTATTGGCACTTGCACAATAAAACAACTTATCTCTTGAAAGTTTAATTTGCATCTTTTGAAACAAATATCTGCTGAGGCCTCACTACTGCTGGAAAGTTCGCATCCTCGGCCTTTTTTATTTTTTATTTTTTATTTTTTTCCACATCCCCAACTAAATTATCTTCTTCTTTTTTTGAGAAGGTAAAGTGTCCAGTATATTCAAAAAATCATCGCACAAACTTTGTGTTGGAAGCCAAAATAGGCAATTACAATATGAAAAAGCAAAAATATAGTCCTTGTTCTTCTTACAAGGAACTCAAAACATCTAGGATTGAATCAGGATCCTCTACATATTCCAATTTACACCAAAAACAAAAAAGAAGAATACACTTCATCTTAATCTTTTGTGGAGAGTTGGTTGTATCTTCAAAGCATCTCAGGTTCCTTTCTTTCCAAATTGTCCACCAAATAGTTGCTTTCCTCAACTAAATTATCTGTAACTTGGGTTATCTGTGTCAATTCAAGTATTTGGCATAATATTATTAAGTTGCAAACAAAAGGTTGAAGTATCAAAGAGTGAAGGCCTGCGGAGTGAAACAAAACTAGTATTTGACTATTTGACCCCCGAGTATTTGAAAATTGCCTTCGTTTGCATATTGTAGACTCTTTCTCTCAACGGTAATAGCTGTCACTGCCACTCTTTTTCTTCTCCGTCGATGGTAACTAAGCACATCTAAGGTATCTTTCTCTTCTTCTACTCTTCTCTCTCTCCTTTCTCTCTCTTTCCTCTTTTCTTCTTTCCTTTTCAGGTTGGAGTCCGACGACATGACCAGTCTTCTACACTGCTTGTCTCCCTCCTTCTCTGCTTCTCCCTCTCTCGCTCTGTGAGTGTGTGTGTTCGCGTCTGCGGATAGTAATAGGTTCCGGCCGAACCAAACGAGCAGGGAAAAAGCGACTGGACCAGACGAGATCCCGGTTAAATTTTGAAAGAGCGCGGACCGAGTAAGTTTGAAGTGGCTAACTGGGTTGTTAATTGTCATTTTTAGAACAACAAAAATGCCCGAGGAATGGAGGTGGAGCACAATGATTCCGTTGTACAAGAACAAGGTTGATATCTAAAATTACAATAACTATAGAGGTATCAAGCTGCTAAGCCATACTATGAAGTTTGGGAGAGGGTGGTGGAGATGAGGGTGAGGAGGGTTGTATCTATTCCCGAGAACCAGCTCGGATTCATGTCGGGATGTTCGACTACAGAAGTCACGTTGTAAGGAGATTGGTGAAGCAGTATATGGAGAGGAAGTGGGACTTATATATGATGTTATTTGACATGGAAAAAGTATACGACAAAGTCCCAAGAAAAGTTCCCTAGAGATGTTTGGAGGCCAAAGGTGTACCTGGCACATAAACCAGAGCGATTAAGGACATGTATGTTGGAGCCAAGACACTGGTAAGGACAGTGGGAGGAGACTCGTAACACTTCCCATCAGGGTTGTAAATAGCGCTCGCCTCAGCGATAACAGCATGAGGCGATGCGATGCGAGCCTCCAGCGCTATTTGCCTCTGTTGCGTGGCGATTTCAAAAAGGCGAAGCGAGAGGCGTTGTGTAGCGAGAGGCGCCCTGTAGCGTCGCTTTTTTAAAAAAAGAAGATAAGAAAAAGGCAGCAAACCAGCGATTAAAAGAAAAAATTTAGGGCTTCACACACCATATAGGGGTGGGGTGGATGAAGTGGAGGTTAGCGTCGGGAGTCTTGTGTGACAAGAAAGTGCCACCGTTACTAAAAGGTAAGTTTTATAGAGCAGTGGTTAGGTCTGCCATGTTATATGGAACTGAATGTTGGCCGGTAAAGAACTCACACATCCAGAAGATGAAAGTAGCGGAGATGAGGATGTTGAGGTGGATGTGCGGGCATACAAGAATGGATAAGATTANAGAGGAGGAGCACTGATGCACCGGTGAGGAGGTGTGAGCGACTGGCTGTAGTGGGCACGCGGAGAGGTAGAGGACGACCTAAGAAGTATTGGGGAGAGGTGATCAGACAGGACATGGCGCGATTTAGGATTACTGAGGACATGGCCCTTGACAGGGAATTATAGAGGTCGAGTATTAAGGTTGTAGGTTAGGGGAGAGTTGTGAATATTTCTACAGCACAATAGAG